CATGATCTCCTCCTGGTTCATCGGTTGACACTCAATTGCTGAGCCATGCTGGCCAGACTGTTTTTTTGTCTTGTTTTTTATTAATCCTCATCCAAGGATATTTTTCCATTGATTTTTAGAGAGAGTGGAAAGGAGAGGGAGAGACAGAGAGAAACATCGATGTGAGAAAGACATATCAATTGGTTGCCTCTAGCACACACCCCGACCAGGGCCGGAGAACATGGTCTTGACCAGAATCAGTCTACGGGCCCACATTCTATCCACTGAGCCAAACCGGCCAGGGTGCCCCACAGCTATTTCTGAAGCAAACACATGAAAGCAAGCACTTATTGAAAGCTTAATATGTGCTAAACCTAGTTTTAACAGCTTTATGTGGGTTAGTTTAAGTGTCACCTACACTGTAGATAACCTAATTTTACATGCTTCGAATATAAGAAAATGCAACACCAGAGATGTTAAGTAATTAGATCAGGGTCACACAGGTAGTGGAGTGGAGTCAGGATTTGGACCCAAGCCTTCTGGTCCCAAAGTCCACAACTTAACCACCAAACCACAGTGCCTGTGCATTACTGACTGATTTAGACAGTATGTGGCAAATAGTAGGAGCTCAGTAAATGAGGGTCGTTATTTATCCCAGAGGAGTTTTAGGGCACAGCACGTATTATAAGTGCATGTTTGTCTGGTATGGCGAAGCCATTCCTAACTCGTGGGCGCTGAAGGCGTTCCCAATTTCCCTGTCATTTCCCCTAGAGTGGTTCTCAACCTTCTGGCCCTTTAAATACAGTTCCTCATGTTGTGACCCAACCACAAAATTATTTTCGTTGCTACTTCATAACTGTAATGTTGCTACTGTTATGTATCGTCATGTAAATATCTGATATGCAGGATGGTCTTAGGCGACCCCCGTGAAAGGGTCGTTCGACCGCCAAAGGGGTCGCGACCCACAGGTTGAGAACCGCTGCGCCTGGACGCTCTCCGCTCCTCAGATAATCCGGGCAGATGCGGGAAGACCGACTCCTAATGAATGGGATCGATTCTCTCGGCTCTCTTCCTTGCCTGTTTCGTTCTTGGTCCTCGGCGCTCCTCAGCGACGCGGGCCTCCCTCGGGAGCCCGCCCCCGCATGGCCGTGCGCACGCGCACTATCCCGATTGGCTCCACCCCCAGTGGAGTGACGGGCAGGACCCACCAATGGCGTTGTGAGGAAGGTGGAGCGGCGCCTCGAGGACGCCCCACGGATCCTGCCTCATTGAATATTCATGAGGGAGGCGGGTTGACGCCGCTTCCAGCCGCGACCGGCGCCATGAAGTGAGCGGGGCCGGGGTTTGCGGCTCGCTTGCGGGAGCGGGGTCCTGGAAGATGGGGGGACTGGTGGGCGCGCTCGGGGCCGCTGCGGGGCGAGGGGTGACCGGGGGGGGGTGAGGTGGGGACAGACTCGGGGACCTACGGTGCGGTAACGGGGATGGGCAGCGGGGCGATGCCGAGGGGACCCGGAGGCTCCTGGGGAACTGGGGTACGTCCGCGGGGGCCCGACGGGCCGGGCCCGGCAGGTAACCTCTCTCGGCCCGACGACTGGGGAGTAGAGGGGCCGGAGGCGGGCCGAGGGGCCGCGGAACTGACCGGACAGCCCCGCCGCCAGGCTCAACGTGGACGGGCTGCTGGTCTACTTCCCGTACGACTACATCTACCCGGAGCAGTTCTCCTACATGCTGGAGCTCAAGCGCACGCTCGACGCCAAGGTGCGTGGAGCCCGCGGGGGCCGGGGGGCTGGACGGAGATCGAGGTCCTCGGAGGGCAGCCCGCGCGCCCCAGCCTCTCCCCTAAAGTGGGACTAGTTACAGTAGCAGCAGCTGACACTCGGAGGCGGCGCTGCTCCGTGGTTGGGAAGGGTAGACGCCGGGCTCGGCTGCCTGAGCTGGAATCCTGCGTGCACCGCTGTGTGCCTTCGGGTAAATCACCCAACCTCCCTGTGCCGTCGTTTTCGCCTCCACGAGATGGGCGTAGCAGCACCGCCTGCCTCCGAGGTCCTTGGGGCGGGGGTGGGGGGTGGGGGTGGGGGAGGCGTTACAGGAGGTAATTCGCTAAGTCAGGGAGCGGTTCTCACCTGGGGTGGTTTTGACCCCCCGGGGACATGCGGCTGTGTCTGGAGACATTTCTGGTTGGCCTATGGGGGAGGGGGGTGCTGCTGGCACCTGGTAGGTAGAGCCCATAGGTGCTGATAAACATCTTACAGGACAGCCCTCCACGACCACGTGCTATCCCATCCCCAAATGTCAATAGAGCCCAAGATGGCAAACCCTGATGTAAGACACTTAGAAATACTGCCAGGCGCAGAGTAAGTGCTGGAAGGGTTTGCTAAATTAAAAGAAAAAGAGCTCCCCTAGCCCTGTGGCTCAGCTGGTTGAGCCCCCTCCCATGCCCTGGTTGCGGGTTCGATTGCGAGTCAGGGCACATCCTGGCTGCGGCTGGGTCCCCAGTAGGGGGCGTGCAGGAAGCAGCCCACCCATGTTTCTCTCACTGATGTTGCTCTCTCCCTGTCCTTTCCTCTCGCTCTCTCAAATCAATAAAAACGTACTTAAAAAGTGAAAGAAAAAGGGGCTCACTATATTCAGATACTATGCTGAATGTTTAACCCACAGTTTCTCATTAGAGCTTATTAGGCCCATTTTAGAGATGAGGCTACTGAGGCCAGAGAGGTGAAGGCATTTGCCAAAGACCCCTCAACGAAGAGGTGGCAGGAGTGGGGTTCAAATCCACTGCTCCTGGGGCCCAGACTTTCAATTGCTGTGTTGTCCTGCCGTTCCAAGATGGTGGTATTAGTGGGGAGGGGGTGTTCCCAGAGTTTGTGCCCCTGGAGTTCTGAGAGCCTGTGTCTTTTTCCTCTCACTCCTAACACGCAGGGTCATGGAGTTCTGGAGATGCCCTCAGGAACTGGGAAGACAGTGTCCCTGTTGGCCCTGATCATGGCATATCAGCGGGTAGGTGACCCCCTGGGCCTGTGGAGGGGGAAAGGGGAAAGGGGCCAGGGCTGAGCCCATTGTCGTTGGCAGGCGTATCCGCTGGAGGTGACTAAACTCATCTATTGCTCCAGGACAGTGCCTGAGATTGAGAAGGTGAGCTGGGGCCAATCTTCGTGCTCCCCCACTTTTCCTGGGCCTCACCGGTCCCCCGGGTGGTTGCCATCACCGCTGGGGGGTGGGTGTTTGGGGCTGGGGCCTGGCTGGGCGGGGGCTTGTGCTTTCAGGGAGGCCAAGTCCCCTGCCTCCTGGGCTGGCACAGGTGATTGAGGAGCTTCGGAAGTTGCTCAACTTCTATGAGAAGCAGGAGGGTGAGAAGCTGCCGTTCTTGGGGCTGGCGCTGAGCTCTCGGAAGAACCTGTGCATCCATCCTGAGGTGAGTGCCCACACCTCCCCTTGCCCTGAGCCCGGGGTTGAGGAAACGCTTCGTCCACCAGGAGTATTCTCGGGGAGATCGGCAGGGGCCGCACACACAGTTCTCTTCTCACTTTTCAAAGTCGACTCATTGCTCATGGCCAAGGCAAGCACACTTCTTCCGGGGAGCCTCCCCCCTTCCCCCCCAGCCTAGGACACGTTACAGAGGCACTTCCTGGAGTCCAGCAGGCCTGGGTTCCTGGCTCTGAAGCATTGGTTGTGTAAATTTTTTAAAAAAATATTTTTATTGATTTCAGAGAGGAAGGGAGAGAGAGAGAAAGAGAGAGAGAGAGACATCAAGATGAGAATCATTGATCAGCTGCCTCCTGCATGCCCACACTGGGGATTGAGCCCACAACCTGGGCAAATGCCCTGACGGGGAATTGAACCGTGACCTCCTGGTTCATGGGTTGATGCGCAACCACTGAGCCACACCGGCTGGACAGTTGTATAATTTTGCGTAGGTGATTTCTGGAGTCTGGGCCTCAGTTTTCCTTTCTGTTAAATAAGTGTAAAGTCCCTGCTTCATCCAGTTGATAAGATTAGGTGAGATAATGTATGTGTAGTCCTTAGCATGTACAAAGAGCTAGCATGTACAAAGAGCTAGAAGAATATGAGAAATTTTCATGATATGAATAGATATATGACACATAGAATATTAGTTTTTATTTAATTATGTTATAAAGGCACAGGGCTCACTGCACCAGAAATTGTTGTAAGCACTTAACGTGTAACTCATGGAATATGTATTCTGTAAAGTTATCTGTAAGAATGTGTCAGAAATAATATAGATGATGGAGGGTAATGAAGTAGCAGCACAGCCTTGGCGGCTGGTGAAATGGGAACGGGGGAGGGAGGGGCCGGCAGCCGCAGAGCCTGCCCGTTGGTGAAGGAAAGGCTTTGTGCTGGGGACAGGCAGCCTGGGCTGTGACGCTGCCACCCGCAGAGCCTCGGGGGGCACAGAGCCGGGCAAGGGCGAGGCAGTTTGTCAGACTGTGTGGTCAGACCCTCTTCTGACTCTGAGCCCTTGCCACGGTCCTGGTTGTTTGCATTTTGAAAGATTGAGCAGTTACCCTTGACCTACACACTAAGGAATCTTCAAGGCTTAGTGGTGTGTGTGTTTGTTTTTGAGTTTTAATTGACATATTTGTTTCGGGTGTACAACATAATGATTTGATATTTGTATACACCTCGAAATGATTACTGCAATAAGTCCAGTCACCTTACATAGTTATAATTTTTTGTGTGTGATGTGAACTTTTAAGATCTATTCTCTTAGCAACTTTCAAATATGCAATATAGTATTCACTCTAGTCACATGCTGTACATCCTCAGGACTTGTTTTTTTAACTGGAAGTTTGTACCTTTTGACCACTTTCACCCATTTCACCCATCCCTACCCCACCTCTGGCAACCACCAATCTCCTCTCTATCTATGAGCGTGGTGGTTTCTTTTTTCTTTTTCTTTAGATTCTCTACATAAGCGAGGTCGTATGTAATTTGTCTTTCTCTGTGTGACTTATTTCACTTAGCGTAATGCCCTGCAGGTCCACCCACATTGTCACAATGTTCCCTCTTTCATGGCCGAATAATAGTCCATTGTATTCAGGGCTTAATGTTTTAAAAGTAATAATTTAAGAGTAACACTTTTGCCATTCTTTCACCCCTGCAGTAAGTCCCCAAGTGTCTTAACTGTTTATCATTGAAACCGGTTGAGGTTTGAGTTTTCCCAAAAGCCCCTCGCTCCACCCCAGAGAGGACAGCTTCCCATCCCCCCAGGGGTGAGGTGTAGAACCCCAGGTCCCGGGAGTGGTCGGGCTTTTCAGCCCGTGTCAGTGCTGAGATGCACCCCCCGCCCTGCTCCCCAGGTAACACCCCTGCGCTTTGGGAAGGATGTCGATGGGAAATGCCACAGCCTCACAGCCTCCTACGTGCGGGCGCAGTACCAGCGGGACCCCAGCCTGCCCCACTGCCGCTTTTACGAGGTGCCTGCCAGGACAGGGCTAAGGGCGGGCGGGCAGCAGCCCGTGAGCCCACCGCTCTGACCCCCAGGCACCCTCTCGCCCTGCCCCAGGAATTTGACATTCATGGGCGCCAGGTGCCCCTCCCCGCTGGCATCTACAACCTGGATGACCTGAAGGCCGTGGGGCGGCGCCAGGGCTGGTGCCCATACTTCCTTGCCCGGTACTCGGTGAGACTGGCAGAGGGTGGGCAGAGGGCATGTGTGAGGATTGCAGGCTGCCTGCCCATTTGACTGCCTGTGTCTGTCTGTCTGCCTGTATCTCCCTGTGGGTCTGTGCCTCTGTCTGTCTCTATCAACTTGCTTATTTTTGTGCCTGGCCTGGGTTTGTCTGTCCTCGCCTCTGTGGGCCTGTGAGGAAGGGACGTGGTAGTGTGGGTGGGTGGGAGGTCGCATGGTTCAGAGATTAGGGTGGCAGGAAGGCTTGGTGTAACCCTCCTCCCCTCTC